GTACTGTCCTAATCCTAGTTCCCCTCATGTAGTAGGTATAGTCCTAATCCTAGTTCCCCTCATGTAGTGGGTACTGTCCTAATCCTAGTTCCCCTCATGTAGTGGGTACTGTCCTAATCCTAGTTCCCCTCATGTAGTGTAAACTGTCATAATCCTAGTTCCCCTCATGTAGAGGAAACTGTCCTAATCCTAGTTCCCCTCATGTAGTGGGTATAGTCCTAATCCTAGTTCCCCTCATGTAGTGGAAACTGTCCTAATCCTAGTTCCCCTCATGTAGTGGGTACTGTCCTAATCCTAGTTCCCCTCATGTAGTGGGTACTGTCCTAATCCTAGTTCCCCTCATGTAGTAGGTATAGTCCTAATCCTAGTTCCCCTCATGTAGTGGAAACTGTCCTAATCCTAGTTCCCCTCATGTAGTGGGTACTGTCCTGTTCCTAGTTCTCCTCATGTAGTGGGTACTGGCCAAACCTAGTTCCCCTCTTATATTGGGTACTGTCCTAATCCTAGTTCCCCTCATGTAGTGGAAACTGTCCTAATCCTAGTTCCCCTCATGTAGTGGGTACTGTCCTGTTCCTAGTTCTCCTCATGTAGCGGGTACTGTCCTAATCCTAGTTCCCCTCATGTAGTGGAAACTGTCCTAATCCTAGTTCCCCTCATGTAGTGGGTACTGTCCTGTTCCTAGTTCCCCTCATGTAGTGGAAACTGCCATAATCCTAGTTCCCCTCATGTAGTGGAAACTGTCATAATCCTAGTTCCCCTCATGTAGTGGAAACTGTCCTAATCCTAGTTCCCCTCATGTAGTGGGTACTGTCCTAATCCTAGTTCCCCTCATGTAGTGGAAACTGTCCTAATCCTAGTTCCCCTCATGTAGTGGGTACTGTCCTAATCCTAGTTCCCCACATGTAGTAGGTATAGTCCTAATCCTAGTTCCCCTCATGTAGTAGGTATAGTCCTAATCCTAGTTCTCCTCATGTAGTGGGTACTGCCTCAACCCTAGCCTTGTACCGTACCCTGTAATAGATAGAAGGTACGTTCACTCCCCTAGTCCACTTGTACCCTACCCTGTAATAGATAGAAGGTACGTTCAATCCCCTAGTCCACTTGTACCCTACCCTGTAATAGATAGAAGGTACGTTCAATCCCCTAGTCCACTTGTACCCTACCCTGTAATAGATAGAAGGTACGTTCACTCCCCTAGTCCACTTGTACCCTACCCTGTATAGATAGAAGGTACGTTCACTCCCCTAGTCCACTTGTACCCTACCCTGTAATAGATAGAAGGTACGTTCACTCCCCTAGTCCACTTGTACCCTACCCTGTAATAGATAGAAGGTACGTTCACTCCCCTAGTCCACTTGTACCGTACCCTGTAATAGATAGAAGGTACGTTCACTCCCCTAGTCCACTTGTACCCTACCCTGTAATAGATAGAAGGTACGTTCACTCCCCTAGTCCACTTGTACCCTACCCTGTAATAGATAGAAGGTACGTTCACTCCCCTAGTCCACTTGTACCCTACCCTGTAATAGATAGAAGGTACGTTCACTCCCCTAGTCCACTTGTACCCTACCCTGTAATAGATAGAAGGTACGTTCACTCCCCTAGTCCACTTGTACCCTACCCTGTATAGATAGAAGGTACGTTCACTCCCCTAGTCCACTTGTACCCTACCCTGTATAGATAGAAGGTACGTTCACTCCCCTAGTCCACTTGTACCCTACCCTGTAATAGATAGAAGGTACGTTCACTCCCCTAATCCACTTGTACCCTACCCTGTAATAGATAGAAGGTACGTTCACTCCCCTAGTCCACTTGTACCCTACCCTGTATAGATAGAAGGTACGTTCACTCCCCTAGTCCACTTGTACCCTACCCTGTAATAGATAGAAGGTACGTTCACTCCCCTAGTCCACTTGTACCCTACCCTGTAATAGATAGAAGGTACGTTCACTCCCCTAGTCCACTTGTACCCTACCCTGTATAGATAGAAGGTACGTTCAATCCCCTAGTCCACTTGTACCCTACCCTGTAATAGATAGAAGGTACGTTCAATCCCCTAGTCCACTTGTACCCTACCCTGTAATAGATAGAAGGTACGTTCACTCCCCTAGTCCACTTGTACCCTACCCTGTATAGATAGAAGGTACGTTCAATCCCCTAGTCCACTTGTACCCTACCCTGTATAGATAGAAGGTACGTTCACTCCCCTAGTCCACTTGTACCCTACCCTGTAATAGATAGAAGGTACGTTCACTCCCCTAGTCCACTTGTACCCTACCCTGTATAGATAGAAGGTACGTTCAATCCCCTAGTCCACTTGTACCCTACCCTGTAATAGATAGAAGGTACGTTCACTCCCCTAGTCCACTTGTACCCTACCCTGTATAGATAGAAGGTACGTTCAATCCCCTAGTCCACTTGTACCCTACCCTGTAGTGGATACTATCATAACCTCAGTTATCCTGGATCGTACTCTGTAATGTTGATACTGTCCTAACCCTGATCATCCTGTGCCCTTTTCTGTACATTGATAACCCTAGCCATATACCTTACCCTGTATTGGGGTACGTTGGTAACCAAGATCTTGTACCCTGTCCTGTAGTTGGTACTTTGATCATCTGAATCCTGTTCCTTGTCCTGTAGTTGGTAATTTGATAATCTAAATCCTGTTCCCTGTCCTGTAGTTGGTAATTTGATAATCTAAATCCTGTTCTCTGTCCTGTAGTTGGTACTTTGCTAATCTAAATCCTGTTCCCTGTCCTGTAGTTGGTAATTTGATAATCTAAATCCTGTTCTCTGTCCTGTAGTTGGTACTTTGATAATCTAAATCCTGTTCCGTGTCCTGTAGTTGGTACTTTGATAATCTAAATCCTGTACCCTGTCCTGTAGTGGGTACTATTTTAGAGAGGATCATGTCCCTTGTCCACTACAACATCCCTCTCTGCAATCTTTACTTGTCAGACATATTATCTCCTCCCTGCTCAATCCAATGCCCCTTCGGCATTTTGTAATATAAGACAGTTGATTCCCTCCCAGCCCCCCCCCCCCCCCCTCCTAAAAAAAACAAAAACATCGGTAGTTGGTACTGTAAGACATGATCTCCCTGCCCCCTCGGTAGTTGGTACTATAAGACAGATGATCTCCCTGCCCCCTCGGTAGATGGTGCGGTAAGACAGATGATCTCTCTGCCCCTTCAGTAGTTAGTACAGTAAGACACATGACCCCGTTCCTGTCTCCTCCTTTGTCTCTTATACCATACTCTGTCGTTGGTACTGTCCGGCAGATAATGTTATCCCTGCCCCCTCAGTAGATGGTGCGGTAAGACAGATGATCTCCCTGCCCCCTCGGTAGATGTTGCGGTAAGACAGATGATCTCCCTGCCCACTCGGTAGATGGTGCTGTAAGACAGATGATCTCCTCGACCCCTCAGTAGATGGTGCGGTAAGAAACATGATCTCCCTACCCCCTCGGTAGATGGTGCGGTAAGACAGATGATCTCCCTGCCCCCTCGGTAGATGGTGCGGTAAGACAGATGATCTTCCTGCCCCCTCGATAGATGGTGCGGTAAGACAGATGATCTCCCTGCCCCCTCAGTAGATGGTGCGGTAAGACAGATGATCTCCCTGCCCCCTCGGTAGATGGTGCTGTAAGACAGATGATCTTCCTGCCCCCTCGATAGATGGTGCGGTAAGACAGATGATCTCCCTGCCCCCTCGGTAGATGGTGCGGTAAGACAGATGATCTCCCTGCCCCCTCGGTAGATGGTGCTGTAAAACATGATCTCTCTGCCCTCTCCCAAGCCCCCTCGGTAGTTGGTACTGTAAGACACATGACCCCCTTCCTGTCTCCTCCTTTATCTCCCATACCCTACTCTGTCGTTGGTACTGTCCGGCAGATGATGTCATCCCTGCCCCCTCATTCGTTCCACTCATACACCCTACTTTGTAGTTGATAATCTCTAACAGAACTTACATGTTCTTTCAATTTAGCTCTACCGGGCAACGGCTCTGTCACACAACTCACTCCGATAAACTCTGATTTTTGGTCAGAGGTTTTGTCCTTCGTTTCCCTCTCCAGTCTTACTATCCACTCTGTACATTTGTAGTTTGCCCTCGTTTCCCTACTGACCTCACTTGACCTCGCAAAGACTTTTGGGGTCATTTAACCTCTGACTCGTACCAGATTTCCTTTGATCCCTAACCGACACTTGAAGTGGATTCTGCCAAAGTGTGGGAAGGTTGTGTTTATTATTTAGAGCGCTGATAGAATTGTATTTCAATTGTGCTACAATTTGTTCGTTTTTAGAAACATTGAGTAATTCTTTTCTCTTGGTAAATTTGATGATAATTGATGTTTATTGAATATCTGGACTTTTTTTTATTATTTATTTATATCAGAAAATGTGATACACAAGTGAAATATACAGTTAGGTTCATATATGTAGCATGTGACGAGGAAACATTTTCTTCCTGTGAATCTCGTGGCTTGAAGCGAACACACCTTTAATCTTTGATAAATAGACTTCAAATTACACCGCACGTGTACAATACATAGATATTTCACTCCAATGTCTTTAAAAATCGGGAAGAAATGGCTGTCTCGTTTCTATAGACAGAGGCACATGTAAATTGTAAGAGATTGTAAATCGCAATTGTAACTATATACATCTTCAAGTATTTTCTATCCCTTGAAATTCACATACATGTATGTCTTTTAGGGGGAAACGTTTATTCCGAACTCAATAAACAGTTATGTTTACTAACATTAATTAGTATTGATATGTACTGTTTGTTGAATCTATTTGGGTTTATCGTTTAAATAGATAGGTATATACTTATGTGTCCTGACGTGAAATATCACATCAACGTTATGAAATGTTTGGCCTGTTATGTTGATTAAACAATCGATGCATCATCTTTCATATAATCCGTTGCGTTCGTAATAATTGAAACAATTTGAGAAATATATATTTAATTGTGCTATTTTCCCGTTGTTTACAGGTTAGGCTGGGAAGCATCACCAATCGACGATACCTGGATAATGCTAAAAGAAGGAGCATCTTCTAATACAAAGGAGCCTGACAAAAGTCGCACCGACATCAAGACCAAGTCTTCGAATGCTGCAGCTAGAAGAACTGGTGATGCGATGGATGATATCAATACTTTGCATAATGCCCGTAATGGCGCCGGTGAATCATTGAGTGATCAATCGAGTGACTGTGACTATCCTTCACAATCCACCGCAATACCCACATGTGTTGTAGCACCGACGTCAACAGACCCAGACGAGTACATACCCGCCCGCAAGCAACGCGAGTTCATACCAGAAAACAAAAAAGACGATCACTATTGGGAAAAACGCAGGAAAAATAACGATGCCGCGAGGCGATCGCGGGAAAAGAGGCGATATCATGATATGGCGTTAGAGAACCGTATCGTAGATCTAACGCGCGACAACTGTGGACTTCGGAACGAACTGTACGCTATTAAAAAACGTTTCGGGATACCTCTTAACGAGACGTTTGTCGGAGATGATGAGCCTCCTTCACATCAGAAGAAACAGTCCGACAGTTCAAGTCCACCTTTAGGGGGTGCTAGTGCTGTTGGGGGAATGTCCCCGGGAAGCAAAGGCATGCCCGCAGGATATTTGCAGATGGGAACCGGTCGGGGTAGCATTCCCGCATCAGTACCCCCGCCTCTCCTACACATGGCTGGCGGTCTGCCTGTTGGAATGAACTTCGGTGTCAATGGTCCGATGCCGATGTATGTTGCAGTATCTACCTCAGAAGACGTGTCTTCTGGAGCCACCCATAATGCGTCCTCGACCTATCGTGAATGTGATGAACAGGAGGGACAGCCCCCTCCTGCACATTCCCAGCGCATAAAGAGGGAGGTAGACCAGGAGCCTGTGTTTGGCTCAGACATTGCCTCATACTATCCTGGGCGTCAAGAAAGTCCCGTATCACTCGTCTCTACCTCGTTGCATACAGCGGCATCTGTTTATTCTCGGAGTCTAACGACCGCCGCTCCGCTAGCAGCATCGATCAAAAATACCATGGACTATTCGGATGATAATTCCGCTCAGGAAGAACCCCTTTCCTTAACCGTTAATAAATCACATGGATTATCTGGAAACGACAGCTCGAATTCGACCTCATCAAGTGAAAATATGTCATCACAAAGTCCCCCGGCTACCGCCCTACCTCATAAGTTACGTCATAAGTCCCCTGGCGAGTATAGCTCTTTCACCCAGTCGCCCGGCCAATACGGATCATTTGCACACTCAGCCGCCTTCGGTAACCCCTTAATCAACGGTCTAGCTCAATTATCGGAGATTGCACTTGCTCAATCGGGACCACTTCCTCTTCTCAAGTCGTCCTCAACGGGGAGGAAGACGGGCCACAAACATAATCCTCGTTCCCATATTGATCCGAAATATGCTGAAAGACGAAGACGGAACAACGAAGCTGCTCGGAAATGCCGAGAGAATCGAAAAAGTTTGACGATGGTACGAGAAGCTAAGTCAGAGTACCTGGCAGGAGAGAACGGGAAACTTCGGGACGAGTTGGATGAACTCCAGGAGGAAATGAGGAAGCTCAAGGATTTGATAGAAAAGAAACGAGGTAAGGAGGCAAATGCCCAAGAATAATCAGGTCACGTGATGGAAGAACACGTCCACATTTCCATAAGTACGGGTATTACAGGATCTGTGAAAAAAACACTTTGAGGTACCCCAAGGGGAAATCCATTTCAATTCAAATCTTAAAGGCAGCCGCCATCTTTCAAATGTTAATCAGGTATATATTGGGTCATGCTTTGGCTAGGACCTACACACACTCAGGTAAAAATTGTGTCGAAAGCGCAAATCATATTATCTTACCGTTATATAGCGTTAATATTCACGCCACCTGTTTTATTCATTCTCACATTTTCAATTGAAAGGAAATATTTTTAAAAACTTTTACCTTTTATAGATAAGATTATTGTCAAATATATTATTATTGAGCAGGGATTTGCCGCTATACACGCGCATATTGGTCACGTGATGCTTGTGTGTGGTGTCAGACGTAAACTATATTCCAGAGCCCCGGGTGAAGGGGCAGTTGAAGAGTGGTCGCTCAGGCCCTCTGATGCATACTTAACATTACGGGTGTTCGTCACCGGAGGTGACTATGTTACAATTAATTTGTATATGATTATTTTGTTTTATTTCTGAGAGTTTGCTATCATTTGTATATATGTGTATATTATTATATATAACATTTCACTTACACGTGGTCGACATGGTCACACACGAGAATGTACAGCACCAAAAAACATATCAAGCATCATGTTTTGGCACAAACATCACAGTAAATCTTTTACATGACGTAACATTACACTACAATATGTATACGTAAAACTTCACGTTTATTTCCATACACTCCCGGTACTCATAAGGTGTCGAATCTTAAAAATATGTCCGTTGTGATATGACGTAGGTTTGGCAAGTGCTTTGAAAGGACACTGATTTGATGAAGTTAATTTGAATTTGGGGGATTACGTCTGCTGTTATGGGCTGTAGGGAAAACAGAGAAGTGGAATGGAGGAAGAGAAAGTAAAACGAATAGAATGGAGAAATCATGAATGAAGTAAAAGTAGAGAGGATGATGGAAAGATAGATTGCGTCGACTGTTCTGACACGTGTGTAGACAAAGCCCCTGTAGGTTTATGTATATATATAGTATCATATTTAGCAGTGCCATAAAAACTATCAATAGTTCAGGTTTTACTATCTTGGTGGTAGGGTTTACATATGTATTCTTATTGGTATTGTCTTGCCAGCATTTGTAATACTTATGCATAATGACAATGGTACGTTCATCAACATTAGAATTCAATCAAAGTACAGCAAAACTCTCCGATTGTCCTAATACAGCAAAATATAAACTACGACTACCTCAGTATAATACCAGAAACCTTTAATACAGCCCAACAAATCGTTACATAACGCATTGAAACTCCCAAACTCTGATAACAAAGCCCATCGTTACGTAATACAGTAAGCTCTGATAACCCATCACATCGTTACATAATACAGTAAGCTCTGATAACACAGCCCATCGTTACATAATACAGTAAGCTCTGATAACAAAGCACATCGTTACGTAATACAGTAAGCTCTGATATCAAAGCACATCGTTACGTAATACAGTAAGCTCTGATAACCCATCACATCGTTACATAATACAGTAAGCTCTGATAACACAGCCCATCGTTACGTAATACAACAAAACTCTGATAACCCAACACATCTTACGTAATACAGTACATCTCTCTTAACCCAGCACATCTTACGTAACACAATCAATCTCTCTGATAACCCAGCACATCTTACGTAACACAGTAAATTTCTCTGATAACCCAGCACATCGTTATGACCACACGTCCATGATGCGATAATTATCCCATGACATCATGACACAGTAGAGTCATACGTCATACAACAACACAGGACTGGGCAGCGATGGTGTTGTGGTTAGATCCTTAATTTATTACACGCATTGTCACGTGCTGTGATGGTTGTATCCAGGGTCAATGTACACCAGATGCTGTTGAAAACATGTGGTGGACCTCCCGCTGGATGTTCAGTGAGGTACCTATCAGCTGCTTTAATGATGTTCCTCCTCAAAATAACGCTGTGTGTTTACAGGGTGGTGAACCCAACAAACATCAATACAAAAAAACTCCTACAAACTGCATGTGCTACATGTACATTGTTGTGTGCGATCATTCTCGGCGGTGCCTTTTTCCATATTTATCTGGATTTGTTTGTTGTTGAGGGATACTTATATCTATTTATCTACTTTTTGGTCTTTTTAACAGTTTCATTTTGTAGTTATCTGTCATTGGGCTATGCGTATACAGTGGCTGTTTGGTGCATATTTAATTTATATATTGCTTTCGCCTACATTCACGATGTTCAGCCGTGCCATATCGTTACTTATCATATATTCATATATATATATTGAGATACCTGGTTTATTTAGGAAATATTAACATATTTAAAACTGTACTATTATACTTTTTTATTGAATACAAATACCTCATCTATCTAAAACGAATTCCACGTTCTTCACGTTGTTTTACTTTTGTCCGATTAATCAATGGCTCGACCATTCATGCCCTAGCAAGTCCCTTTAGTTTTGTGGATGATAACCACGATTTAGTTAGCTTGTGTGTGATTGTTTAATGTTTAGCTATAATCTATATGTATATAAATAAGTATATGTGTGTATGTGTATTGTATCATGAAAGTAAGCGATGCGATTGGCCTGTTCTAGCTCGCATTATGTCACGTGCTAAGCGTACGGTTATCTGGATTGTCAGCAGGTTGATTAAATTTATTTCTGTTGATTCTTAATATATTAAGTGCTATTATAGAGAGAATTTAGTGCCATTGTTATCTGAAATAATAGATATCACAAATGATAAATAAAATGTTCATATTGTTCATCAATATATATATACCGGAAGATTGCAGAAGGCCATGTTTATCAAGACATTCAGGTTCAGCTGTGTTACACGAAGAACTACAACGGCCATATCACATGATGTTCTCGGTCAGCCTTTTGAAATGAATAATGTTTTCGGCCATATAAACTAAAATTGTTAATAGAATATATTACAAACTACGTGTGGTTGGGAATCCGGCCACCTATGATGAAATCATAATCCCTATCTATATATATATATATATACATGTAAACTGACTACAGATTTCATACGGAATTATAATTGAGAATTATCAGGGCTTAATCAGACTTATTACACAAGAAGATATAGTTATTTAAGAACGTATTTAGTCCAATACACACGTGTGTATACTGCATGGATTCCTGGGCATTCTTAATGTGTATACATTGAAAATAGTTTTTGTTTTTGCAACGCCATGATTAGAAGTGCCATATGAAATGTCTTTGTTGCCATATTTTGTAAACTATTCAGGTAAACTTGTAGATTTCTGTATTATATGTTATATATGTTATGTCATCGCACATCAGACGTTGGCAGTATCTCTGATTATCAAATAACATCCAATATGTCTTAAAATGTTACACGAACTCTCCGTTCAATTAATATCTATTGGTCTTAGAATAAATGAGGTCCTGTCACAGGGTATCTCTTGGTCGTATAGTATGACACGAGAGACCCGTCACAGGGTATCTCTTGGTCGTATAGTATGACACGAGGGGCCCGTCACAGGGTATCTCTTGGTCGTATAGTATGACACGAGAGACCTGTCACAGGGTATCTCTTGGTCGTATAGTATGACACGAGGGGCCCGTCACAGGGTATCTCTTGGTCGTATAGTATGACACGAGGGGCCCGTCACAGGGTATCTCTTGGTCGTATAGTATGACACGAGGGGCCCGTCACAGGGTATCTTGTTTGTCAAAAGGTATCTATTGGTCGTAGAGTATGACACCAGTGGTTCATCAAAGGATGTATGTATGTGGCGCTATAAAGTATAGCACGAGGGGCCCGCCACAGGGTATATATTGGCTGTACAGTATAGTATGAACCAAGGGCCCTGTCATAGGATACATATGGTTTAATATTGGACAAATGATAGGAAAGATTAAGTAATACTGATACTGCGACCGATGAAGCGATGTTGTTAGGTTTCGACCAATCAGTTTAAGCGGTAGCGAATGTAAGCATACATCATGCAAGCTTCGTACGACCGTGTTTGCTCACATGTTCGTATTGTTTGTTCTTCACTTTTCATCCGTATATACTGAATTTTGTAATATAATTTATAAGTTTTAAAAGACCAATATTATTTCAGAATACAAAATCAATTATAGTTCGCTAATTTGGCGTTGTCAAGTGTCAATGTCAGTCAAGGACTGTTTAAGGTCTCAGTCGATGAATACTTACAAATGTTTCATGTTATCATATCGTTCTTATAACTATACACCGTTTGATATACTTTGTTTACAATGTCAAGAAAATATGCGGATCTGGTTAAAAAATTTTCATTCTAATTCAGGTGTACCTCGGGTCCAATTTCATGTAATTTTAGTTATGTTTTAGTAAGCTGTCATACGTACCTGCACTGGACGTGTCAGCGAACAAATAAAGATCCGCGTATGTTTTAGTAAGCTGTCATACGTACCTGCACTGGGCGTGTCAGCGAACACATAAAGATCCGCGTTATTCATCAATTATCTGTTGTTTTATTTTATGTCAACAAACAAGACGTAATGTTGATTTCAATTTTTTCATTTCGTACACCATGCATGATAAACGCTAGGCTTATCAAGTGAAATAAGTAATCAAAAACGAAATAATAGGACCATGTTTGATCTTGCGCTCAAAATTATGATGTAGGTGTAAGATATGTGAAACCCATTTAACAGTATCGTTCATTCTTACCATTTCTCTTCTCTGTTTAGACATGTTTTATCGAGGATGTCAGAAATAGGCCTTTTGATATTGAAGTACAGATTTATGTTTTTTGCCAACATGATCAATGTTTGAATCAGTAGCTATACTTTTACTTAACACAGGTATATATTTTTGTTGTTGTTGTTGTTATAACTGTTTATCTGACCATCAAAATGAAAGACATTTGAAGCATTGTCATCATGGAAAAATGCTTTATTGTTTACGTGTTAACATCGTTTTTGTTCACTTTGAACTCATAGATATATATACAGAATACCTCAATATGAAAGATGAATACATTGTACATCCAAACTTAATTATAGGTCAATGTAAGTAAACATCAGCTGTCATGTCATTGATGACGAAGTTTTTATTCAGCAGGATTGTTACATTCATTTTCAAAACCTAAAATTTGACTTCATACCTACGAAATATCAGCTGATTTCCTTATTAATTATATCCTACAATTTTCCTTAGTTTTTTTTATCAATTTAACGAATTGGGGAAAACCAAAATTACGAAACAAATGGTTCAGTGAAACAGCTAGAGTAGCTCCACACATTCCTGTACAACCCTCGGAATCAGGAATCTGTTTTAGAAT